CTCACATGAATACAATAATTTCAAAACATAAACTTTCTGCTATTTTTTTTAAAGAATGCACAGTGAATTACTAGTTTACACAGGAGATTCCCCAGAAGCTGAAGAACAATATGGATAAGAAGAGGTTGTCTAGAGACAGAGCTAATTTTAGACTTAGAGAATGAATCTGCACATGTGATTCTAGCCAGTAATATTCTCTAAATAGTGCCGTTATTCATAGGTAAATTAAGGAATTAATGAAATATTATCATTCAGCATCTCAACTTTACCTTTTTTTTTCCTCTTGAGGAAGAGTCTTGCTCTGTCACCCAGGCTGGAGTGCAGTGAAATGGTTTCAGCTTGCTGCAACCTCTGCGTCCCAGGTGCAAGCGATTCTCCTAATGCAGCCTCCTGAGTAGCTGGGATTACAGGCACCTGCCACTGCATCCAGCTAATTTTTTTTTTTTTTTAAGTAGAGACAGGGTTTTACCACGTTTGCCAGGCTTATCTTAAAACTGCTGAACCTCAGGTGATCTGCCTGTCTGGGCCTCCCAAAGTGCTTAGATTACAGGCGTGAGCCACAACCCCTGGCTTTGTCTTTTTTTTTTTTTTTTTTCTGAGCCAAGTAAAATGCAATTAAAACCAATTCTGATTTAATGGAATCTACCCCATCTGCAACCAAGTCTCCTAAATTGGGGGGGAAAAAAACAGAAATAATTGTGTCCTTTATTTGCACAGTACCTTTATACTTACTATATATATTTAGAGAACTCCAGTTACCAAAGACCTTTAACATCTGTACTTCCAAAGAGTTATTTCCAGTCAAGAGACATGCCTCCTATATGAATGTCAATTCTAACGCCCTGCACAGAAAGATAGGTATACTCAAAAGAATAAGGAAAGCAAGACAAGGGCTACTCTAGCCTTGGTAATTGGTTAGCTAGATTAGAGTCTTAAACGTACATAGGAAATGATGCCTAATATCTATATTTTAATTAAGAACAAAGGCATACACACAAACACATAGTTTTATTTTGTTTTATTTTTGTATGTGTTTTCAAGTACAAATATGCAAATACAGTAAACTAGTTTTAAATTTAAGTTATTCAAAATGCAGTATTATACCCAGTGGAAAACATGTAATTTCATTGCTTTATTTTTGAAGTGTTTTCTTCATTGAAGTACCTTGACACACTAGTATAAAGGTGTAAAAGTATTTATTATTAAATAAAAATGTGTACAAGTATTAATTATTAAATACATAGCAACATAAATTTGCTCATCACAATGTGTATACACAAGAAACAAAAGTTAGAGGTGAAAGAGATAGGTCATATCAAATTAGAAAATTAAGCATAGAGTGAAGGAATTTGTATTTGTAACCTACCAATTGATTTAAAAAACAAGCAAAAAACGTACCATTAAAGGATATTTTAATAAAATCAAACATCCCTTTGCAATGTAACAGAAAATTAACAATGTTCTTTCTTGCTGTCAACTTGGAAGGCTCAGTTAAGAAATAAGAATTACTCTTTTGAACCACCAGGTGGCTCACTTTCTATATCTATGCCTGAGCAGAGATGCCACTGTGGCCCCGGAGACTGGAGATCATAAAATTCTCACTAAACGGTATTGAAAGAAGACAAGTAATTCTTTGAGAGCAAACCTGAAGTCTTGAACAAGGAAATACCTGAGTTACAGCTAAGATTACCTCAGCAGCCTGGGAGACAGAGCGAGATCCTTTCTAAAAAAGTAAAGGAGAGAACTGTCGTACAGAGACAGGATAAGTGAGGTGGTTTTAGACTAGAGACATTTAAAACCAGATGTAAACTTGTCTAGTAACGATTCTGTGTCCAAGTCCAAACCATTTCACGGACTTCTCAAATGCATTCATAATGTGAGACAGATATATGCGGTGGGGGGGAGTTACTGAGAGAAAAAAGAAAGCAACTTTGAAATAAAACAATAAATCATGTTGTATAATTTTAATTGAGTTTGGAATTAGAATGGAAAAAAATAAGGAAAAGGGAAAGAAAAATAAGCCAGCAAAGTTGAAAAATGTAACATGGAAAGGAAGTTTGCTTTTCTAGGTTAGCAAGATGGCTCTTAGCAATGAACCCCGTCCCAACACTGCATTTTACTAGAGAAAATATAATAGGGCAGTGACCATAGAAGCTTGTAACATTATCCAATGTATTGCTATAAAAAGCCATACCATCTGGATCCTAATTCTCTTCAATATTGAAACTGCAGAGCATTTTCTTCTTTCCATCCTAATTTACAGCTATCACTCACTGCCGCCCTGAAGGGTGCATGCAATGTGCCATTGTCAGAGCTAGTGTATGATCCAAAGTAATCTGGAGAAAATAAGCTTAAGAGTATAACTACATGGTTTCCTCGGTATTCTGAGCTTGTTTGCATTACACAAAAGCTTATAGGTTCCCCCCCTTTTTTTTCTTCCCTTCTTTTTGCGTTGGTCAGCATGGGTCTGGAACATCACTATGTATATGCAGAAATGCCTATGGACTTCACCATCAATCCTACCCCACAGATTGGTAAGAACTGAAAGGTGTGTGACCGACCATCACTGAACACTATTGATAATCCATTTCTTTGGCTTAATCTGTAATAACTATTCATTAACTTTATTTTTAAAACTTCTCAAAACACCAATTCACCAAGCTACCAGGAACAGTTATCAGATGTAGGAGGAACAAAATTGTGTAAAAACCAAGACAGCTGGTAACTAGAAGCCAGAACAATGACAGAAGAATCATCACCTCTGGCTGTAAGCAAAATGAAATTGATTCCCTTTCAGAAAAGACAGCTTTGAATGGCAATCCGTAATGTGAAAGTAACTGGCTAGCTCTTTAACCTAACTCACAAATCTGCTTACATGGGGAGAAAGGTGAGTGGAGGAGACCAGAAAGGAAAAAGCTAGCCCAACAACTTAATTAAATTACATTTCACTTCCACAGCAGGCCTAGTTAAGATTACATCTCTGGATCTTTCAGGTTGCTGGCTGAGTTGGACATCTTTGGCAAAGCATAAACAAAAAGAATATCCTCTCTCTCTTCAAGGTTCCACTCCCAGTGCACACCATCCACCCAACATGAGAAAAAGAATTATGTGCCCTCTATTTCCTTTGTTCCTTGTGATCTCTTTATTTTACTAGAAGCTATAACAGTTGAGCCATCAGCTGCCACAGCACCACGGAGAGAGTAATGTAATCTGGTCTATTGCAAGTTTGACTATGAATCAAAGTGTGAAGTAACAAAAAGTAAAGTTGTGTTCTTTTTGTGTGTTTGTTGCTGTGTAGCAGAGAATCTGTTTTTTGAAATTACTTTATGAATATCCAATGTAGAAACTACAAATATTATGGGAGCTAAAGGCAATACATGTTAAATATTTGTTACAGACCGATAGTCCCTATTGGATGCTGCAGAGGAATCACTTGCATTAAACATTAATGACAAGTGAAGAAAGTAATTCTTCTTTCTTTCCTCTACCTTCTAAAGAGGCAGCAGACAACCTGTGTACATGGTCTTTATGCTCAAAGGGTAGGTCTCTAGGGTTATCAGATAAAGTACCTGGATGTTTGAACTAGAAATTCCTGATCCCAGGTGATAACTTGTCTTTTAACCATAAACCTAGATGTGCCCAAAAGTTGTGTGCCATGCTCCTCCATCAGAACTGAGGTTATCCACCGCAAGATACCATGCTGTACCTTAGAGGCACTTCCCAGAAGAGTAATGAAAAGAGACTAATATTTTTAAAGCGTACTACACATACAAATTGATGCTTGTAAAAACAGTCACAAAAAACTGTGTCTTCTGATTAATTTTCTGCTTACCACAACTTTACTCTTGGTGCTAAATTCTGAGATAGCCCAGAGGCACCATGAGCCTGACTTGTGTTTAGGACCCATCTTCTAAACAGCACTTTGTTTATGATCATTTCAACTCAATTGGATAAATTATGGTTATCAGTCTCTTATAAAACTTCTTGTGAAATTATGTCTATAAAACAATTAAAATGAATATTAAAGGGTGAAGATATTAATAAGTCATTGAAAGTTTTCTTTATTAACTTTTCACTCTGGAATTGGCTAAGAAAGTATATACAGTCAAGGAATATGAGGGGTGATAATTTATTCAGATTAACATCACTAAAACAAGGAGGCTCAAATCAATGAGCTATAGTTTTGTTTGGAGTTTTGTGTTTTTTTTTAATATAGATCTGTTAACTAAGAAACCTCTAAATTCACAACTAGATTCTAGCTCACTTTAGCAGAAGAAATTTCCTCCAGTTAATTATTTCTATGTCAATTAATCACTTTACCCACCTCACCACAACAGGGTGAATTATATCAAACAAATTCCCCTCTTCAAATCCACATCATCCATGTATGTATAAGAGCTCAGAAAGATGAAAAGACATTTGATTCCTAGCTTTCCTTGACAAATACAGCAATTTGCATGAATGTTAAACTTCTGTGATTCAGCAACTTTCACTCCTGTCTATATCACTGAATGTCAAATGCCAAAGAAGAGTTTGAATCCACAGCTCCCACCACTCGGCTTTTATTTTACAAGACTGAGGTATGTTTTTCCCAGCAGAAGAAAAGCGTTTAAAGGTCTTTAAATTACACATGCAGAGTTTCATAACAATTGTCAACTAACTGAAAAGGTTAGAGGCGCACACTTAGGCTAAATGTGAAGTTGCCTATGAATCACAAAATGAGGCCGTCTCATTATCTGCAGAATATTTCTAAGGGTTGGGAGAGAGAAGTAGAGTTACCATCTGCACTAAAACTTCTTTAATCAGAAGAATCCCTGCTAAACTACCAAGCCCTTACTGTTCTGCTTCTTGAGCAAAAAAAGACTTTCTCAGTTAAAGTAAATGCTGTGATCGAGAAGGTTTTCCCATACCTAAAACAAAAAATGGCCAGAGCCTACCTGAAAGTGGAGAGTGAGGTAGCTGGCACATTGGGAGAGAAAGCGACTGGGAAGCAGTCTTACCTTCAGTGTGGAGCAACCTCCTCCCCAGGCAGACTGGCTTTTGGAAGAGGGTGCCCTCTTTCCAGGGCTGGCGAAGCAGCTGGGAAGAAGTGGCTGTCTGCCACTAGCTGTGACAGCTGCGTGTTACCGGGTCCCTCAGATACTGGACTCCAGCGTTCCTCCAACAAATCAGGCAGTGGCCGCTTGTACCTCAGCAGAGGAAGCTGGGACTGCAGTTGCTAGCTGCCTCACTTGAGGGGAAAGCACTGGTGCGCGCGTGTGTGTGTGTGTGTGTGTGTGCCGCGCGTACACTAACTGCCAGCTCTAGGCTGTGCCGATGTGTTCTGCATACTCAAAATGCTCGTGCCAGGAGGAGTCTCCTCCACACAGACCCCAGCCTCCCCGCTGAGGAATCACAGTCCACTGACCTTGCTGCTGGGGAATCTGGCTGAACTGCTCACTCATCAATAGATTCAACAATCAATCAAATAAAAGAGATTGGATCAGCCTCAGATAGAGACAAGTGCTTCCCCCAGGGGCACTGAAATTCTTTTTAAAGATATCTCTGTGAAACGTTTTATATTTAGAATTGATATTTTTTCCTCTTTCAGCCCTGATGTCTTGAACGCAAGGTCTAATTGATGAGCCCCTAAGTTAAAACTTTTCAAGTTGTTTTGCCAGGCAGGATGAAATCTTACCTAGAAGCCAATTCAAAACATTTATTCCAGAGATCTGTCAGATGCAGACTTGAACTTATAACAATCAAATTATGAGGAGTTAGGCTAATAAACTGCTTCCCAAACTAGGGATTCCATGTCATCATACATAGCAGAAATGTTTGGGACCAGACATAAAATCTATGTTTGAATACCATCTTAGTTTTCTTTAACATTAATCCAATGAAAATTATGAGGAAATCCCTGTGCTGAGTGCAGTGCTAATAATTATGTGAATTTCTTTATAAGATGCACTGCCATTATTAAGTACATAATCTTGAGTCAGTCATTTAAATTTACTGAGTTTTATTTTTTTCATCAGCAAAATTGTACATGTTTCTATGACGGGCCATTTATTTAAAGTATACATGAAAACAATTTGTAAATTGTAAAGGGTTAACTGTATGTTACAAATTTTTTAAATTGTCATAAAGAATGTGCAAGACTCCATGAGATATAAATGAAACTTTTCAGGTCTATAGACTAAATGATATTAGAAAGTTTCATTGCTAAGCTTTCAGTTAATGCCTGTGATTTCAAAGTCCTGAGCTGACCCATCTGAACAGCCAGAAAAGAACTTAGGCCCCACTTATCATGTTCTATCTCTGCAAAAACACAAAATAATTTTGGAAAACTAAGATGCAATTTTCCTCTCTCAAATTAGGGTCACCCACTAACAATCTTACACCAAACTCAAATCCAAAATGTACAATGAAGTGGAAAACAGCAGAAATGGGAATCACACTTGTTATCAATCTGAGATCTGTCATGGGGCTCCCTTGATTCCTGAACTTTGCCTATAATGATGATGACGGTAATAACCATCACTGCTACCAAAACAGGCACACACTGGAAGCCAGCATTTATAGAGTGCTTACAACCAGCTAGGCATTGTTTTAGGCATCCTGCATGTATTAACATTTTTACTCCTCACAACAGTATCATGAAGTAGATAATATTATTATCTTCATTTTGCAGATTAGGGTAACAGTGCATAGAGCAGGAAAGATAATGGCTAACAAGCTTACCAGGGTTCACTTTTATTAACTGAGAGAACTGTGGAAACTATTCACATTTTAAAATTTTTATTTGGAAACAATTCTAAGGATACAAAATGTTGCAAGAATAAGAATGAAAATTCCTTCTATGCCTTTTACTCAGATTTATTTATTGTTAAGGTTTCTTCCATTTACTTTATAATTTGATATACAGAGTGAAAGAAACTTGAGCTATTTGAACATAATATGCATATATTATGCCCCTTTACTAATTATTTCAGTGTACGTTTCAAAAAAGTGGAGATACTACACTACATAACCAAATAGTTTTATAAGCATCAGTAAATTTAATAGAAATATGTTTAATTTATTGTCCATTTTCCAATTGGCTACTTAAACCACTAATAGTCTTCATAATATTTTTTTTATTTAGGAGAGTTTTGAATGTATTGCATGCAGTTGTCATGTATTTTTGGTCTCATTTAAAATATGAAAATTATAATTTATCTTTCACTTTATGACATTTTGAAAGACATCATTGAATCCATTTCTCTTTTTTAATGAGCATTTCTAATTTTGCGTTTGTATCATGTTTCTTACTGATTGGATTCAGTTTATGCATTTTCAGGTAGAATACTGCAAAATTGTTGTCGTGCTTCTCTCAGACTATCTTATCTGAAAGCATACAAGGTCCATCCATGACTCATTGGTTCTGTACATTCTGATGACATAATCATATGTTTTTGTTTTTATTTCTACACTCAATAATTTACTTTTTTTTCCTTTAATTATTAAGTGACCTGTAGAAAAACAATTTAAGATCATGCAAATATCCACACCTATGACTTCAGAGTCTACAGGTGACCCATCTGAAAAGCCAGAGGAGAACATATGCACCCACCTATTATGTCCTATTTCTACAAGAAGCTGAAAATCTAAGGTGACATTTTCTTCCCTCAAATTAGTCTTCCATTAGCAATATTAGACCAAACTCAAATCAAGAAATACAGTATGGTGGGAAAGAGCAGAAATTGGAATCATAGTCTCCCATTTTATTTAAAATTAATTGATAATATGTGGTTGCATGAGAATAATTTTCTAACTCTAATTCTCTCCACATCCATAGGACAATAGATATTCCACTGTTACAAAGGTCCCTCCATTATCTGACATCTCTCTCCTCTCTCTCTTTCTCTTGCTTTATCTTCTCCCGCCTTCCTTCCTGTTTTTCTCTCCTTTATTAGAAAGGATTCATGGATTGCAAATGTTAAAATAATAATCAACACAAATTCTACACAATCTCTTTCAGAAAACAGAGGAGGGTAGAGCAACTACCAATCTATTTATAAGGTTAGAATTACCCTGACAACAAACCAGACAAAGAAAACACACACACACGAACATCCCTATAGACTGTTGTCCCTCAAAAAGAGAGACACAAAAATTATATATATATAGATAGATAGATACTATTATGTGTTCCCCTGAAATAAAAATACATTATTGAAACATGCAACGACTTAGATGATTACCTACAAAGTAATGATCAATTAGGAGCTTATTCTTGCACATGGTATGAGGAATATATCTAATTGAACATTTTTCCAAATGATCTTTCAACTGTCCCAACAACAATTATTAAAAACACAATCTTTGCCCGGTGATTTCAGATGCAGATTCATTATATACTGCATTTATAAATATGTTTGGGTCTATTTTTGGACACTTTATTTTATTCAATTAGTCTGTCTTTCTATTCAAACTCCAATACTACACTGTTTTTCTTATATATATATTATAATGTGTTTTAATATCTATGAGGTTTAATCACTTCTTATAGCTCATTCTTTTCAATATTTCTACAGCAAATTTGTGTTCATTTTTTCCTATAAACTTTAAGATGTTTACCTCTATAAAATTATCATTAAAATTTTTGTTAAGTCACATTAAATGTATAAATACGCTTAGAAAAACCTAAATATTTAAAATGTAAAATCATTCTAACTATGAATAAAGGATGTCTTTCAATTTCTTCAAGTCTACATGTGTGATGTTCAGGGGTGTTTTATAGTGTTCTCCATTTAGGATAGTTTTTGTTAAGTTTATTCATAAGTATTTTTAATTTTTGTTGCTTTTGCAATTATTTTATCAATTTTCCTTCCTAATTGGTTCTTATCTGTGAACAGGAATGCTGTCAAATTTTGGAGGTTAATAATGTACCCCACTACCTTATTGACATCATTTTTTGAGATAATTTTATTATTGATTCTAAAAGGTTTCCAAGTATATTATCATGCAATCCGTAAACTAAGGTAATTCTATTTATTCTTTCTCAATTTTGATGTTTTTACTTTTTTTATTGCTTGTTTTATTTTTAATTTTTAGATTTTAGTGGGGGTTGTTTTTAGGGTCTTATCTTATAGTATGAGGCTGGCATTAAGACTCTGTCTCTCTCTTTACATATATTTAAATAATCTGCACTATCCATTTATTATTATTTGCTATGCTGAATTATGTTGAAGCCTTTTTCATCAATCATATGGATAATCATGTAACTTATAGTGAATTACATTAATAAACTTTCTAATACTACACCATCATTTCATTCCTGGTATAATTTACAATGCATTGTTTTCTGCTATGGTTTGGATATTGTTCCCTCCAAATCTCATGTTGAAATTCAATCCCCACTGTTGGAGGTGGGGCCTGGTGGGAGGTGTTTGGCTCCTGGGGTGAATCCCTCATTGACTTAGTGCTATCCCTTGGAATGAATGAGTTCATGTGAGAGCAGGTTGTTAAAAAGTGCATGGCACCTTCCCTCTTCTTTCTTACTTCTGCTCTCACTATGGGATATGCTAGCTCTCTTTTGCCATCTGCCATGATTGTGAGCTTCCTGAGGCCCTTACCAGGAGCTGAGCAAATGTTGATGCTTCACCTGTAAGGCCTGCATAACTGTGAACCAAATCAAGTCTATTTTTTAAGATAAATTACAGAGCCTCAAGTTTTTTTTTTTTTTTTTTTTTTTTTTTTTTTTTTTTTTTTTTGGAGACAAGAGTTGCGCTCTTGTTACCCAGGCTGGAGTGCAATGGCGCGATCTCGGCTCACTGCAACCTCCGCCTCCTGGGTTCAGGCAATTCTCCGTCCTCAGCCTTCTGAGTAGCTGGGATTACAGGCACGCGCCACCATGCCCAGCTAATTTTTTGTATTTTTAGTAGAGACGGGGTTTCACCATGTTGACAAGGATGGTCTCGATCTCTTGACCCCGTGATCCACCTGCCTCGGCCTCCCAAAGTGCTGGGATTACAGACATGAGCCACCGCGCCCGGCCGAGCCTCAAGTATTTCTTAATAGCCATGCAAGAATTGCCTAACACATTTTTTTGCTGTGTTCAAATGTGTCAGCTAATATTTTATTTAAGATTTTTAAATAAAATATTATGGGACACTGGTCTTTGTCTTAAGGTTATTGTTATCAGGATTAGGTGTCAATGTAATATCTGTATTATAAAAAGAAACTGGAAGTTTCCTCTTATTTTCTATTCCCTGAGATAATTTATGTAG